ATTAAAGCCCCTTCACTGCTGGTTGAGAAGGACCTCAGTCTGAGAGAAGGTAGAAGTGCAGTGGACTCCTGAACAGCTGGGCCTCCATGCCCCCGCGCTCGCATCTGACAACGACCATGGTACACCGCGCGGGGGTTCTGTAAAATGCAATAAGGTTCACTTGTTGCATTGCAGACATTTAAGAGGTTGGTTTGAGAGTCTGCGAAAAACAGGAAAACATGTTCACTGCCACCAATCTGATAGTGAGGCGCGAAAAATACAACTGCCATCACTTTCAGGAATTTGCTATTCATCATTCATTTATTTTTACTCCGTTTTTTTTCTGGGGGAGGAAGGTGGCCAAGAACATTCACTACAAGCAACAGCCGATTTTTTTTTTTGGTGGGCTGAGTTAACATGTTTTTACCTGAAAACTACCTGAAACAAAATTAAATTAGTCAACATAATTGCATATTGATTAACTTTACTGCCTGAATTACAGCATGGCTTCCGTCGTCCTTAAAGCAACACCAAACTGCAATCATGAGCCATATCACTAACATCTCATCTTGCTGGCGACACAACTTCTCATTGTCTGTCGGATAAATCAAATGTATTTTAAAAACAGACCAATTGTTTTTCATCTCCGTTTCTCAACAGATCCATTGGTAATGGTGTTCGCAAAGCTGGGTGCTAGGTTTTGTTCACCTTCAAAAGCAGCCAAACGCAAAAGTTGAACTGGTAAATATGATTTAAACATTTGAGATTAACAAACTGCCAACCCCTGGCCTGGTTTGTCCATAGAAAGCATAATACTTTAGATGACCCCCTCTTGCTAGAGGAGCCAACCTCGTTACATGGGTCACCAAGGCCTCTCATGATTCAAGAAAGTGTAAAACAACTTCTAACATAATGAGTGGCCTCCTACATTAAAACTTAAACAATATGCAAACATTCTTCCAAAATGCCGGTAAATATTACAAACTTCCTGCTGTTATTGCACTCGACTAGTTTTAGTTAATAAGGGGGTACAGGTGTGCAGCGTATTTACTGCTATGGTTGTGTGCCTCTAAATATTGTAGTATTTAACTATCCTAATGTCACTTAATGCGATTCAGGGGGCGTCAGTCGGTTTATAGATTGAAAAAAATAGGGGTTCCCATTCAAAGATATTGGGAACCACGGGATCGATTTAGTCGACTTATTCGTGCCCATCTCTTGGATATTGTTGGGGCGTAATGGGTATTTGAAGTGCTGAGATGCTTGCTGAAGCATGTGTATCGATAACATTATGCCACCTCATTTGCTAATAACCCATGCAGAGACTACAGGATGAACTCATCCACTGTGGCACATCTCAGGCTAACATTGCCAGCAGCAGGTGTCAGTGATGTGTTTCTGAGGATATCACTGTTGTTGCTGCTTGTTTTGGGCTGGATGATGATGATGAAGATGACTATCCGAAGTCATTAGTTTACCCTCCTCCTTCATTAATTGCCAGGCCACATACTACAGTTTATAACACCCCCAACATGTTAACATATGTGCAGAGACGCAGCCATATGCGGCCAGTATTTACAAACCCGCATCGGGCGCAAAAAAAACAAAAAGAGGCCGCAAGCGAACAAAGGGAGCAGGGGAGGGAAGCACGGGCGCTAAGCTAGGGTGGTTTGCGGTAAAACAACAAAACAGGACAAACGGACCGGTCAAAGGGGCCTCTGTTGGAGCGGCCTGAGGCCGCAGGTTTCTTACCGGTACAGCAATCAGTGTCGCCCGCATAAATCCCGATCAACCGCCGTGGCTTCCGAATTGATCCGGCTGTGCCTCCCTGTTTGGTTTCCGCCGCTGCGTCAAGCTAGCTGCGCTAATGGAAGGCACTTGCGGACAGTGAGGCGGCAGCGGTCTAACAAAATAAAAGCGGCGGTTTTGCTGCAATGTAATTTTCTCTACTTCGTCTTTTGCATTAGATTATTATTTACACTAAAATTAATTGCAAAACTGAACATTGGCCATTTCTGTTATGCTTGATAGTAATCGTCCATTGTATGGTACCTGTCAAGGACATATATTTTGTAACTAGCTTGATTAAGCAATCTCAGGTCAATATGAAAACGTATCCTCACTGACTCAAAGAATGGTCATCTTGATCATTGAGATGGTTCTTCCCCCAAATACCTTTTATGATGGTCGGTAGGGCTATACTCTCGAAATTGTTAGACACATGATTGTATAGTTCTTCATTGTCGGATATCTGAGTCATTATTTATGTAACTTTTGAGAGTTACGTTATTTATTCAGATAGCTTTCTACGCATTCTGATATATAAATACAATGTAACAATGTTGTGATTTAAGATATCATTTACTGTATAGCACTATTAATAGGGAAATCGAAAGTTCAGTGGTGCCTATAATTGTAGTATTTCAAGATAAAACAGGGCACCAAAAGTGGCCCTTGGGGTCAGCCAAGGCACCACTTCTTGATAATCATGCTATTTGACAACATCCTATATCCAGGATGTTGCATTGTTGTTGTTAACATTGTAGTTATTATAACCTTTATCAACCTCAATCAAGCAGAACAAAATAAGCTCTTTTGGCATATATACTCCTAAAGACCCCGGCAGCACATCAAAGACGATTCCTCCAGTGGAGACCTCTACTCCCAGCGTCTCAGGAAAAAGCCCACAAGATTTACTCAAAGACCCCGACCCCCCAGCAACTGTGCTCTGCTCGTTTGGCCGGTACCGCAGTATCAGACAAAAACCACCAGACTCAGACAGTTTATTAATAATTAATATGGTTGTAACAGTGATCATAAACATTCATCTGTTTGCATTTGCCAATTATTATCTATATATCATTCCATAGCGGTGTACTCGTCTTGCACTATTCTTTTTTATTTACATTTTTGTACATTCAAACATTCTCTGACTGTATTTTATCTGTTGTTTGTTTATCGTCCTATTATATATCATGTTGCACGTTGGAGCCTGTGATCATTTTCATTGCCAATCTAAGAGCTTTAGGTGCGCGCGCGAGTGTCTCCAAACTTTTTCGTGGGTCAGGCCCCCCCCTTTGGAGAAAAAAATATGTCGGCCCCCCCCGCGGAATGACAGCTAATATTTTTTTTTTTGTGCTGGGTAGCTTGACTGCATAGAGTGTCAAGACATTTGGTTCCCATTAAATGTACGGCGTACCAGTGGAATTTTCTACTTGCAACATCCCCACGCAAAACACAGTGTGACAGTTACAATGAAGGCTCGAGGCTTATAGGTGTAAGCCAGGGTAAAAGTACTATTTTATGGATGGTGTGGACCTCACATAGTCCGGGGCAAGCTCCCCGGAAGATTTTATTTTTAAATATTGAAGTAAAGCATCAATCTGTCACTTTGAGAGTAAAATGAAGAGATTCTATGGATACGTCTGCAACACCCAATTTGAAACAGAACTGTAAACAGGATTTACGTTTTTCTTTATGATATTTGACAAATCACCCTTCTTTTTAAGAAACTTTATTCTTTTTACTGTCATATAGTATTTCATACCTGTTTTTATTTATTCTTCTATTTTTTTATTAACTACTAGTATAATGATCATATAAACGTGTGCCTCGGAAATAATTGTTTACATTGTGGTGACCAAAACGTTTGAGACCTACTGAGATAACACTGAGAGAGTCCTTTAGCTCAATGAGTCTCTCAGTCTGACAGGAGAGGACTCTCCTCCCTTGTTGTTGAAAAAACTCTTTATATCCTTTAGCGTAGCTCGCTAGCACCAGAAGCTAACAACAACGATCTCCCGTAACGGTGCGCTCTCTCTCTCGCTCGTGCATGCACACAAAATGGCTCGTTCCACACACACACAGAGCCGAGCTTTAATGAAACACAGATACCCAGACGTAATAGCAATGTAATGTATCATATTATTTTCGAATCAATCATTTTTCAAATTATGATTTTTTTTATAATAACCATTTTCCTCCTGGTCTCTCGCTGTCATGCCTCTGCGCCCCCCACTTTGGGAACCACTGCTTTAGCTAATGTGCGCATGACAATAAAGCCTTGAATCTTTTAAACAGTACAGTGTTAACACAAAGCACTCCAGTTTTGCTTTGACATTGTATTTAGGCTGTCTATTGCTCTGGGACACTCAAAAAACAAGTTAGTCTGATTGTAATGCTTGCAAGACTAGTGGACGAGAAGCAGTGGTGTAAAGTAACTAAGTAGATTTACTTAAGTACAATTTTTGAAGTACTTGTACTTTACTTGAGTATTTCAATTTTACTTCTACCTCAGTAAAATTCAGAGGTAAATCGTGTACTTTTACTCCACTCCACTAACCTTTAGTTACTTTACAGATGTGGATGAATGATGTGAAATATAATCAAGTGTTAAATCAGACTTTAGTTCCACCTGAAATAAATTCACAAGCTACCCTGCAGTATACAAAGTCATTCAAACTAGCTGCACCTTTACCAGCTTTGAGAACACTTTCATGATCAGTCATTATAAAACATATCATATATATTATTCTGAAATGGACCAATTTGTACAATGACTACTTCTACTTTTGGTACTTTAAGTATATTTTGATGCTGCCATTACTTTTGTACTTTTACTTGAGTAACATTTTGAAAGCAGAACTTTTACTTGTAACAGAGTATTCCTACTCTCTGGTAGTTACAAGATCTGAGTACTTTTCCCACCTCTGACGAGAGGTTTGGTCAGCGGAATAAACTGCTACACTTCGCAGATATTGAACAAGGAACACATACGTGGAAAATAGATGTTACAATGCACAGAAACATTTTTTTTTTGTTGCAGTTCACATGACAGTGAGCAGCTTCACTGCAGTGAATCAAATTAGGCCCGATTTAATGTGACATGCTAATTGCCACCTATGTACTATGAAATGAGCAAATCTGTAAAATGATGTTACCATAAAACTGTCGTTGCACACTACATTGACCCTAATGCATAATACAAATCACAGAATAGGGGTTATTTATATAAAGGTTTATTCCACTTCTAACTTCCAAACTCAATGTCAAAACAGAACGAAAATGATGAACTAATGGAAGATGATTGAAAGCTCAGATTGTGTAAACAGGTGAAATAATTGACTGATATCATTGTTTGGTCAATTTAATTGGCCAATGCACTGTTCTGCAGTTGAGTTAAAAAAGCACCAAAGAAATGTGGTAAAGAAATTCAAATATTAATTATGAATTTTTCAAGTTGGACATTTTGGTCTGAAACGTGTTAGTTAACACTTTGTAAGTTTGGAAAATGTCTAGCATCTGACATAAAATGGTGAAAACAGAACAGTTGTGAGAGACAGAGGAGTTTCGCTGGCGGGAGTGGCAGCAGGCTCTCTCAGGGACCTCGACAGCTCCCATGGGGCTCAAAGAGATATTCTCCATGTCTCTCTCAGCACGGCGCTGGATCAATTCAGACCCTTTTAGGCTCAGGTAGGGGTTGTTGTGGCAGCTTTTCCAGGACTCGTTGGATGAGGAGTGTCTTTTCTCAAAGTCTACATGTTTCAGGAGTTTCTTGTTGCAGACCTACAGTACAGCGTGCATCAGAGCTGGAGGCGTCCTTCCAGGTGGCTCAGTGGTGAAGCAGTCCGGGAAACCAAAATCCCTTTGTGTCGCCCTGAGCAACCAGAGGCAGAAGAGGACATGCAGCACAAGCAGGACGAGCAGAGGAGGAAGAGAGCCATCTGTGGGTTGCTTAAAAAGTTATTTTAGACACCTGTCCAGGGGTATGTTTTCACTGTTGTGAACTGCTGCCCACTCCCATCTGTAAAACTGTTTGATTTCATTTCTTTTTTACTTTAATAGAATTACAGTTTATATCGCTTACTTCACATTTTTTATTCTCTTACATATTTGAAAGTAGGGCTCAGCTGCAGAACAGTACCGAACTTGATATAAACCACTGAACAAAACCTGAACCAAAAATGAATCAAACATTCATACAAAATAGATGATAATATCCTTATTTTAACAAAAAAGGTATTTATATAGATATACATTGCAGCCGAACAAACCTCAGCATAAGTTTCATTCTTGATATAAAATCAACATGTCGAACCAAAACATTCCATTTATCAAACATGGAAGCTTAGCATTAAAAATGCTGTATATTTGATTTTGCAGAGAAAGTACAGGTTTTCTTTGGGTCCTTTGATGAAAACGTGGCCATAAACAGGGGGATGTGGTCATACATATCAGTTGCTACCAAAATATGTTTTTGAGTTGTATAGTTGAAGTTAGAAATATGAGCAACATAACCAAACATCCACCAATCTTTACAAATTCAACAATGCCATTGACTTTAAGATGAGTGAGAGCTAAAGATAACACATTTCCAGGTTTTAAGCATGAGTCCTGTAGCACTATAGAAGATCCCCAATGCCCTATTAATAGAGTTATTGCAACTAGTGTGTCAAATCAAATGGGAATACAATTTATGTTGAACTGTTTTATGTTGTCATTGGAGTAAAATCTCTAACCTTTGTAAAAGCTAACTAGCAGAAAGAGTGCTAGTAAGCTAGCTTGCTGATTTTGCTTTACCACTGGTTACATCAGATGAGCATAACAAGTTATTACTCATTTGGCTATAGTAAAGGCCAATTCATACTTTTCGTGTCTGCGTGTCTTTGAGGGTATGCTAAGGCCCTTGTGACCAAATAGGTCATTTGGCTTGTGCACTGGACCGTCCGATTGCAGCAAGAATGTGTGACTGAGCGTACTTTACGCATACAAAGAGCTTATGGTCCTGTTTTGTTACACACTCCAGTCTAGCTTAAGAAGTGAACCAACGGAGTGATTGTACTAAAGAGAAGTTGTGTTAAGGCTGCAATCAACATGAACATAATTAGTCTTAAAAGGCATTCAAAGTGATCCAAAAAGCGTTGAACTCAAAGCAAAACAAAGCAATACGCCTGAATGCCCTGCGGACGCAAACCCTCAATTGTACTCCATAGTGAAACCACATGCACTTGTGTGACTGCAGCAGATGCGGAAAGTATGTACCGGCTTTAATGTGTTTTCCTATGCTGTGTCAGTAGTGTGTGGTTGAAGCATTAAGCTGGTGAATTTCACTCATTAAAACTGTAAACAAAATATTTGTAGAAGACCACATTTGAACTCACCATGATAATGTTATAACCTGGTTATAACTGATCTTTGCCCAATTTTCATTTGACTGAATAGAGCATGAAATGACCATAGAGCAACTCTATGGCGCCACACCCCACTTGCTGCAAACAGCTAAGGTTAACTAAGTCTTCTGCCAATTTCAACAAAGATTTGTTGTTCACGAGGTTTGTGAATTTCTATCTACAACAGGATGATGTTCGTCTCGAGCCCCAATTTACTACCGGGAACTAATTTGTAACTGTACTGCAGTAAAGCAAGCATCATCATGTATCCAGAATTTTGGCGAATCTTTGTGGATCTTACATACTCACTATATAATTACACAACACCTTGGATATTGACTTGGACTAAATCAGATACAGCTTATCATCAAAAACATTCACAAATGGATGATGGAGAAGTAACATACATTTTGGAGATGTCAGAACAACTGTTATTCCAAAATGTTGCATACAGAGGTTGGGTCAGAATGTTGTGCAAACCGAATGATTCTAACAATGAGTCTTGAATGTCTAAAGATGTAAAGCAATTTCTATTTCTAAGTCATAAATTCTATAATGAAGCTGTGTTACATTTCCCAGCAAATGTCTGCATATAATGAATAAAATATGCGCAGACAGCAGAGTAGCGTCAACAAAATGATTTGCTTGGCAGAACAGTAAAGCCATAAATATTTCGTTCTGGTTGAGAGTTCAGGATCTGATCAGTCTGAGGTGGAATCAAAGTCATTTTTGCACTCAAGTTATTCCTTTACTTAGTCGTTCCTAGGCATGAGATCACCAACTACTTTTTTGCACCACCATGTTAAAGTCTTCTGCACCTTGTGGAATGGATCCTGTCTAGGTATGCATACCACAAGGTCCGATGCACTTGATATGGCCCTCTTTATCTAAGAAATAATGACACAGCAACACAAAGAACACACAAACGCAAAAACAGTTTTGCCTCCATTTCAGGCTAGGAAATAGAGGCCAATGCAAAATCCCAAGCCTATACAAAGAGATCGACCACATCATGCCTACTGTAGTTTTAGTTGGAAACAATGTCAATACAACTGTACTCGCAGACTGCTACTCTTGTTAAATAGCTGTCCACTTTCATTTGTTGGTACATTTGTTTTTTACATCTGAATCGTACAAACTAGACTTTGGGCTGAAATGTAATCTGTTACACTGGTTCAAAGTATGCGAGACCCTTAAGATAATCTGAGGAGCCGAAAAGGACAAATGTTGACCAATAGGATTAGGCAGAGGTCGAATTCATGAAGTTTTTTTTTAAAAAGATTGACAGATTGACTTTTGCTGTTTTTAGTTCACAACTAACCTTTCCCTAAAGTTGGTTCAGTTGCAGCTAGTAGCAACCAGGCTAACAAGCAGGGCAAAGGCTTGGACACATCACATTTTGATTTAGTTAATTTCTCTGATCCTGGTTTTGTTTTTCTTGCCGGGTTAAAGCCCATAGTTTGGAGACACAGAAAGGAGTACCAGCAGGAAGCCAAGTGGTGTACTGCTATGGACGGGGAAAGGAGCCATTTTACATATTTCACAGCCTAAAAGAAAGGCCTACCAAAAAGATATATCAATGTAAGTCGTTTCCTGGTACCTTGCTTTTAGGCTTGCTTTTTGGCTTGCTTTGAGGATCGCTTTTGGGCTTGCTTCGAGGTTCGCTTTGAAGATCACTTTGAGGATTGCCTTTAGGCTTGCTTTTAGGCTTACTTTTGGGATTGCTTTTGGAATTGTTTTTAGCCATTACCAACACCTCTTCTTTCATTTGTCCAAGTTTCTGGTTTAGCTCTTGGATCACGGCAGAACAAGAAGAAATCCTCGTATTTAATCGTCTGCTCTTCTGTTTTTCAACTTTCAGACGTTTGCGGCTGATGACCAATTTCCTTCCCATGTTATGAACTTTCATTTGTAATTTTCGAATTGTTATTTGTGCATCTGGAGATTTAGCAGTTTCCGAAAGGATATTCCCAAATGGCGTTTGTCCTTCAACTGTCACGTTTTGAAGAGGGGCTGTGGACCCATGACCATCTGATACTTCTGTGACACTAACACTGTTCTGATTTGTGGTCACAGTGGTGGTGCAGTTCATTTGTTCCACAACATTGGTTACGTCTGTAGATGGAGCGACTTCGCCAGGGGGGGTAGGACTACTCACAGGCTTGCAGCAGTACGGGTGATCAAAGTTCACAGTGTCAGTTATCTCTGTGTGCATACTTACCGCTTGTGTTTTGGATGATGTGTGACTAACTGCAGGTTTCTTGAATGATGTATTGACACCGGGGTAGGCAAAAATAGTTGGGACAGCATTTGAGTTCAGCAGGCTTCTCCCACAGGAAGGGTGAAAACATTCCTCGGTGAAGTGTAGAGCGCATAAGCGTGAGTCTGGGGACGGCATCCAATTCTTGCGGTTTATGTTGTGGACCCAGCTAAGCATCCTTGCCTTATCATGGTGAGGAAATCTGTGAAATAATTGTGCAATTGGTTAAGTTGTATGAACATCCCAATGCATTGTTTAACTTCAGTTTCTGGTTACACTGAAAAAACTGAAATGTTGACTTTAATTAAATATATTATGTCAACATATTTCACATAACTGTATCAGGTTAGTTAAAAGCAATAATATTAAGTTGAACCCTATATTTGTTATTTAAAACTAAATATTATTGCTTTCAAATAACCTAATACAGTTATGGGAAATCCATTGTCCAAATATTAATTAAAGTCAATGGTTCAGTTTTTTCAGTGGAACGATAATGTGTCATACCATTACCCCAACTTGTCAAATATGGCATCTTGTACAGCGAGTCAAAGTATGACAGTAGTTCGTTTGCGTCAGATTTGGGCGTAAAGGGCTGCCAACATAATCATATCTAATAGATACACTTTCACGCAGGACACTGCTGTTACCCAAGGAAACCAAAGCTCAATATTGACTTATTTTCAGTAACACAACGTACTTTCAGACCAGTGCCCTGTACTACGAAGCCAGTTCAACAGACCCTGGATATGTTCGAGTTATCTGGCTTAACTAACCCTAACAAACGAGATCTCGTTAAGCGGTCCTACGACGCTGGTTATCAACTCGGTAAGTCAACCCAGGGTTTCTCTGTCCGGCTAAGAGCACGTTCACGCAACATTTGACCAATCACAAACAGGGACAAGCGTACTGACAGTGCAGCGTCATACTTCCTGAATGAAAAGTAAACTATCATGTTAGACAAATGTGAAAAAGTTCAACTTTAAACATCCATGACTTAAACAGATAATCCAGGATAAAAGCCACATAGCTGCACCTGCAAGGTGCATACAGAACAGCTGGTAAAGAAAAGTTACAAAAGAGTGTTTGAATGCGTACATTAACAGTTTTATGATATCACTGCCCCCATCTAAGACACTAGTGGATCTGACTAATTACATTTGACTCAATTGTTTCGTCAACTTAATATGCTGCTTAAAATAAAACTTCGGCATACAGTAAGTAATAATGTAAGTGTTGCACGGCCAGATAAGGCTCGAGAAGCAGACACAGATAAGGAAATATATTATATATTATGATGTGATGTGAATGTTAAGTGCGACATGTCTGCGTCTTTCCTAAATACGACAGTTTAAACTGTATTTCCTTTCTCCTGTAATATGACTTGATAGCTTTAAATTCCGCACACTGAGCTCTGATTGGCCAGCAGGCGGTGCTTTCACTGAGTTGATCTCTTATTTGGAACATAAACTGCTCCGGAGCAGGTTTGGTGTTCAGCATAAGTTACCATGGAGATCTACCCCGGTAAGAAGTGAACTAGCGTCGTAGGACCGAAAACTCAGTTAACCCTGAAGTTACCTCGCTAACCGCAAACCCTGCTTCGTAGTGTAACCAACCAATATTTTGGCCCTCCCAGACAAAATCAGCGTTATTATAGTCAATGTGTACTAGGCCATGGATGTATATTAAAAGAAAGTGTGGGCATGAACATACAGTATTGTAAATGTAAGCTGATGTGAAGAACTAACTTTGTGAATATTTTGGTCAACCCATGAGCGACACAGGCAGAAGAGGAGACATGACAGAGCATAAATATTTTACATCGCAATTCACATTTCATCTTTTAAAAAAAACATGCGTGTTTGAGGTAATATTACATATTTAAATGTTTCTATGATTCAGACATGTTCTATGCATGTAAACGACTAGACTGAATGCATAAAAAAGCATCAAAATAAAGCCCCCTACAGAGGTCCGGGTAGCCTCCATGTTTATGTTGTTTCTAATATATCGCTTTTCTGCACCGAAACCAGGACAGCATATTGGCAATACCCCAGAAAATTGCAAATAAACTTGAACTATGTTGTTTTCACATTAATGAAATTCCAGACGCACATGACGTTCAGTTTGGGAAATGTGCTTTTAATTAATTAGCAAGATCCATAAATGGTAAATGGACTGTACTTATATAGCGCTTTAAGACCCCTCAAAGCGCTTTACATACTACATGTCGTTCACCCATTCATACAGAGCAGTGTATGTTACTCTAGGAACTAACATGCATACACATTCACACACCGTTGGCCATGCCATCGGGAGAAACTCAGGGTTAAGTATCTTGCCCAAGGATACATCGACATGTTGACTGCATGGGCTGGGATCGAACCCACAGCCTTCTGGTTGAAAGACGACCGCACTCCCTCGCAGCCGCCCCATGAACTGATGTGTCTGCGTCATTTCTTTTACGTTGGGCTCGCCGGCGCAAGTCAAATGCACACCCATGGATTTAAGTGTGCCACAGGGTCTGTCTGTTGGACTAGTATAATGATAATGTCTTATTATACACAAAAAACAACACAATTTGGTTTTAGTATTTCAACGTTTTTCTTTCAACCTTCTTCTTTCTTAAAAGAAGCGGACGCATTTGAATAGTAAGGTTAATGAAATAAAGCTGTTTTAAAAGAGTTTCCTTAATGATCCATAACACACATGGATGTGATCCTATGACCATGTGATGTTTACATGCTGCAGTGACCAAACAATTTCCCAAATCAGGATAAATAATGTAACTATATTCTAATCTAATAACACATCACTAAATGTAAAAATATTAATAGTTGTAGCTAATATTTTATTCAGCTTTCTAGCATTAGCCTACATACATATTGTGCAAATCTATAAATAAACAAATATTTGAGCATACCGGAAAAGAGAAACCGTGGCTCCTTTCTCAGCTGTTCGCTTCTTGCAGTTGAAGGCAACACAAGAGGGCATTTTCAACTGTTGTTAACTTCTTGCTGTAAAGACAAAGCGGTGTACAGATGACTTTAAAATGCACTATCTCTACCATGCTTTATCACAAATACAATAAAAACAACTTATGCATCACCCACTAAATTGTAAATCATTCAAGAATTCCTTTATTGTCATTGAAATATGAAGCTAATATTTTATATCGGAGAGGCTGATCGAATAGATCGGTCATAAAATATACTTTAATGTACCAGACAATCCAGAAATGTTTTGTTAATTATTGATGCATTTATGAATAAACTGTGGATTAAAAACACAAAACTTGATTAAACTATTGTTATTGAACGAATGGAAGGAAATGATGAGATCACAATTCACTGTGGTTGTACCTTCATTTGAAGGCCTACAGGCAACTAACAACACGTGATGAATTGATTGCGACGTAATCACATGTGTAATACAGACTTAAATTTTGGTGGTGAAAATTAGGAATTCATTATATCCTCCAATATTTCATGCATCAAATCATCATGAAGCATACATTAGGTAAGCATTCCTTAAAGGCCATATATAATAAACTGTCTAATGTCATTTGGACATCTTATTTGGTGTATAAGTTTAACATGTGTAGCTTTAAACATGTGTTTGGAATGTACATAGAAGGACAGCACAACATTGGGAAAAACTGATATTGCAATAAAAATAAGTGTGATGGCCTAAATGAGATATTGAATATGAGGTGATTTTGTAGGAGAGTGCATTATCATTACAAAGAAGCTTAAAGTTACTGTCGCTTTAGAAACATTCATTCATGTGAATCAAAGTTCCAGTTTAATAAGTAAGTGTTAACATCTTTAATACGGTTATATGTTCGGATTAGTAAGGCACTGTTTCACAGCAAAAGTAATGAAAAAGTAAAACGTACAATTGGCCAACTAACTTTTAGGTATTAGTACAGGTCCAGAGTAGTCTACTCTACAGCATGAAGAGATTATCTGCGTTCAATGCACACAGGCTGGACAGCTATAACATGTTGACAAAGCATAACATAACTGAAATATGAAACAATAAAGTTCTGAATGCTAACATTACCTATGTCCACAGATGTATGAAGAGTACTCGAAGCAGGGTTTGTAGGCGGGCTCCGTTCAATTTTACGAAAGTTGTTGAATGGCGCATGAAGCCAAAATGGCTCGACAGCTAGGGAGGATGTGGAAAAGAAACCGGAACATCCGGTGATCTTCCGCACATGTGGGCAAAGCTCCCAGGAAGTGCGCCGGACTCTGAGGAAAATATTCGTTGTGTCCAAACGGCGGTACTGCAACTTCCGTATCAGTCCGTGATGTCCCTGGGCCCAGAAAGACTTTTTCCCATTGACTAACATTGGGAAAGAGTGGTCTGTAAATCGTTGGATGAAAAAAAAAAAGTTGGGCCATTTTGTCCTCATGCGCCAATGAGCAGCTCTCATAGGAAAGAACGAGACCCCGCCTCCCACGCTGTATCCAGTTCTTATTATACATCCATGGTGTGGGCCCACAAAGCATGCGCACTAGCACTTTCCTTAAACCCCGCGTTCCTCGGGGCTGGCTCTGCTCAACTTTTAGGACCTAATTATTTGAAAAAGTTATAGTGTTCGTCAAGAGGGTTGAATTTACTTCATCAAAAAAAATTCTCTGACAATCCTTCTTTTATAAAATAGTTATGTGTTTTTATATTTTCCAATGTAAGTTTGGCAAGCCCCCAGGAAGGAGCGCCAGGCTCCAAAGCCCATTTTCGTAGTGGTCAAACCGTGGAATTACAACAACTTCTGTTTCAGTCCCGAGAGGAAATGTTTCCATTGAGTTACATTTGGAAATAACTTATTCCGTTTTGTTACATGATTGCATTGCTCCTGTACGATACTTTTATACTTACTAAAATGTCATTTCATGTGTATTCATTTTTCAAATCGAAATATTGTTGCAAAAACATTAGATGTTCTTGGTTAATATAGCATACATACATGACATGAAGCTGGTGTGAATTCTCACCTTATCTCGTGGGTCAACAGACAAGTCACGACAATGTATCGCAAAGCGGCTGTCAACTCTTAAAGAACGAGTCTATTCACCCTTAGGGTCGAGTTAGTTCACATCAGGAAGAATATTATTCGTCATTAAGTGATGTAAAGTGTTTTGTTCTTGTGTGTTAAATCCAAATTCAATGTTTATGAGAAGATGCAGATAGAAGTTTTTTTTCAAGAGTCACGCTTTTATTTTTAAAAATTCTAACCGGACGTGTTACTTATTATGCTGGGTGCCTTCACCTGGGTTGTTTTGCAGGTTTGAGAGGAGTCCCGCCTTTCTCCCCCTTGCTAAATAGTGATCAGGCGGAATTTTGAATGGATTTGTCCGCTGCCATGTCTTCCTGCCAAATACTGTATTCTCTCTAGACCTGTTTTTATTTTTCTCACAGACTGAGTCCTAACATCAGGATAATGCCACAATAATCTTTTGATTTTAGTGTGTTATGTTATTAAAATTAACGATGCTATCCGCTTCAAATGTGGAAACAATTATTAAAACCCCATCTGCATTGTAGTGTGGACGATGGCCCAGCAGGAGGTGCTCTTTGTCTGCTCTAGAACTGATCTATGAACAGCTCGCGTTTTACGGTCATTCATTGGTTTAAGCCGGGGAAATATAGTGTTCGTTTTCCTACCAGAGACGGCCCCGAAGGGCGGTGTTTTGCATTTAACTGTAACCGACGACAAATAGTTGACTGCACCGCTCGGCCGGGGCACCCTGGTGTTAAAACACTCGGTGACATTAGGATCAGTTATAATCAGAGCAGAGGAATTTTGGTAAAAGCAAGACGCCGAGCCTTCACGGTTTACCGCTTGCGTTTACCGGTTACAGACTTTAAAGTCCATGATAGCGCATACACGTAGTTGTAATTCACACAGCAGCGGGACACCCTGGAAGAGACGGAGAAACCACAGGAGGATGCCGAGCAACAAGGACTCGATGTAAACATTATTACGGCAAGATGTGAGATGAACCGGGAGAAAACGGCAACCGAGGCCAACGACAACATGTTGGTCCGGGCATCGGTAAGTGCTCTAGCTCGGTCGGTTTGAACTGCTGCTGGGTAACACCTACCTTTTAACGTTAATCAAAACTAAGCTAACCTGTTAGCTGTAACAGAAAACAATAGTCATTTGTTTGGGAGTTGTTGGCTAGCTAATGAGCCAAGGTTAGCTTTGTAGCTGAAGCTTAGCTAGCTAGAATGTGTGGTGTCGTTAATTTGTTCGTCTAAGTCCAGTCATTTATTAAACCTATTTCACTAGGTATTATAGCCAGCTAACTCCTGTTTGCGTCAGGTAAACCATAACAACTAATAGCGCTGTTTCACGGATCCAAACGTTAGCTGTCACTCCAGAGAAAGGAAGATCAAATGCCAGGTGAAGCTTGTTTATTCACACCTGAGGACATTTCGTTCAGCAGTCAGCTTTAGATGCTGCTGTGATTGTTGACAAATATTAACATCCATGAGTGTGCAATATTCGTTTATTTATATATATATATATATATTCGTTTCGGTCCTTTTTTAGTCATGATTTCACCCAAAAATATATACATTAAAAAACATTATGTAAGTTTCCAAAGTACAATATTTACCTAACTTATGTCACAACAATACTTTTAAGAGCAAACTAAAGACCCACCTTTTTTATTTGAATTTCTACTGAATGATATGTTATTCTTATTTTACTCTAATTGTATTCTTTTTTTATTTTATCCCTTTTTATCATTATTATTATTAATATTAATATTTAATCCTGGTTTATGCAGTCCTGCGTGGGAATTACGTTTACTTTTTAATCACAAAGCTATGTGTTGCTCAAGTTATACCTTTGAAGATTGACATAGTATTGTTTTTATTTATTTTGATATGTTTGGTTTGTAAAGCACTTTGAATTAACTTTGTGTATGATAGTGCTATACAGATACAGTTTGATTTGATATACCAGAAAAGCAAGATTCATCTTCCCATCATCACACATCTTGGGCCTTGTGCCATAACATTTCAGAGGAGCGTTACTTTGCATTACCAGTCTCTCTTGATCAAAACCAAAACCTGTCCATCTCTGTCAAGTGTATGAACAATAAACCTGGGCATACTCTATATTCTCAGTAGGCCTTGCTCGTTTTGACGGGAGGTGTAACTAAAAGCACTACGGAGCTTTTTACCCCTGTTATATACTTTTGTTTTTGTACCAACAAACTCAAATAAAACAAGCAGTTGACTTAAAAGGTGTAGGCTTGTTATACTTCGTCTTTACTTGTCATATTTATATCCACTTCCAACTTTTGGCTTCAAACTGTAAACAAACTGTTTTTTACAGAGTAATATTCATAGCACAAATGTATATCAGCTCTTTCTAATTTCCAACAACCTCTGAATAGTGCAGAGTTAACATTAACTATATCACAACTTTTTAAAGAATCCAGGTAAATAAATAGGGCCTCAGTTGGTTGGCAGTAGTCCGATTGATTTAGAAATCTTCCAGCACTCTACTGTAGCATGAACATTGGATTGGTCTTGGTATGTGTTTCCAATTGGCTCTTTATATATATAAAGGTGTTCCCCCATACTTTCACAAAGTATATAATATAAGAAACTAAGAGAGAGCTGCACAATTTAAACATATATCCTTATGGTGATTTGTTTTGCAGTACATTTTGATGTAATGTAGTCCTTCTTATGTACTGTCTTCATCTACAGAATGGACATTCCACTGAATTGTACAAGCTCATAACGTTATGAGACACTGGCTGTCATGGAGCACATCATGGACATGACAGTAACTATGACTGCATATAGGCCTCTCATTCACCCGGCTTATACAACTTTTTAACTGGACTATTTCTCCTAAAGTGCAAAACGCATTCAGCTTCACATCCAAATAATCTAGAGATGCAAATAATGATGTTATCTATCACCTTTCTGAGCAATTCCCAAAAGTCCGATTTTTTTTTTGCACCACTTTTTATTGTGGATTTTGTTTCCTCTTGCTTTTTGAATTCCTTCTATACATGTCTTAACCAGTATGAAAATAGCGATGGAACGTTTTTTCTGCATCACCAACATGAGAAGAAACATTAGAGCGGTTATTATGCCCTACTGTAACCATGCATCATGTTGGAGTAAACTGCTGGCAAAAGATATTAGGTCAGATTGGACAGGAAGTGAGGTTACTTCCCACAGATGAATAGTTAATGTTTCTGCCTCTCCTCTCTCCGCAGCAAGGCCGAGGCCGGGCCAAAGTGACTCATGCGGTGGTGGTGATCTTCCTGGAGTTCTTCGCCTGGGGGCTGCTGACCACACCCATGCTGACCGTGAGTAAACGCATTGCAAACAATAACAAACCACAACAAAACTTCAGCATCCAGTTTCACTGTTAGTCCAGTGAGCTGGATGTTTGCCTAGACATATAAAATGCCTCTTAGCCAACCAGAGAGCACTTGGCTAAGAGTCAAAGGTGGTAGCCATGTTGATGATAATATATATGAGTAGATTGATCTTATTGTTCATATGAAAATCTGATATGTTACCAATGTGACTGTTCAGTTATTGTGGAAGCAAATGCTTTGTTTGTTGATGGCTCTAAAGAAAATTCAGCGTCCAGTTGTCTTTCGGACAAAGCACCAACTTCAAAAACGCTAGTGGAGGAAATTTGAAAAGCTGCTTGTTTCCGCTTCAACAAGCTATAACAAAAGCTGTCTGTTTGTAATCTAATTAGTGGGTGGGTAGGTCAAAAAGTGCACGCGCGTGTCCAAAGTTACAGACGGTTGATTTTCTAAATAGAAAGTGAAATGCTAAATAGTCCTTAATTGCTGGATAGGATTTTGCATTGGTTGCTTTAGCTATTGGGTTTATGATTTCCAGAATCAGATATCATTATTTTCTTTCAAAAGATATGAACAGGACATTGTGTTTCTGTTTCAGGTCCTCCGTGAGACGTTTCCTCAGCACACCTTCCTCATGAACGGCCTGGTTCACGGTGTGAAGGTAAGACATCTCAGACACAATCACATTAACCTCTGGAGGATTGTAGAAGCAAATACTAACAGGAGATACTAGTGATCTGTAATCTGTCTTCTATTTGCATGTAAACAACAAAATGGAACTTTTAAATAATAGAATCAGAGCTGCTAATACAGATGTTGGCAGGGATACTTTTGTCTCCAGATTCTGATACCTCCACTCTGAACCTGACACTGATCTGATACCAGAGATCTTTTTGTCCAACATTTAAAATCTGTAAACCTCAAGGTGTGGCTCCATTGTTGTGTAAGGGATGCAACGGCGCTAAAAACTGCAGCCATCTGTGCCTAAAGGAATGAAAGTAAAGAAAGTGGAAGAAACCCAGCCTCTTCAATATGTCAGTATCGTAATCAAGCAATGTTACGTCCCATCTGACATGTACTCTATCTCCCCCATTCCTTTCGTCTCTGTACTGTTGGCAATAGAGTGGAGCAGTGACTATGTCTTTTTCTAGGCCGACCAGGAAGTTAGCATCCCATGGGCTCCCTCAACAATAGGCAATGGGATGTTTTCATTGGGTTTAGGCATACTGCAGAAAATAAGCTTTGTGGCCAACACGCATGATACTTCATACATTTTTCTCAGTGTGATCATTTCCAAATATTAACACCAGTAAATGCAATCGGCAGAAATAAAAAGCCAAAGCAATGCTTTTAACAAACAATTTCACCGTCCCACGGCTGCCCACCACTGCTAAGCTAAAGCCAGAGCTGTCTGGGCGTGATGACGTCATTATGAAGTTCTGTCACTTTTATGGCGCATTTCCACTACAGGGCCTCGCTCGGTATGGCTAGGCCTCGTTAGGACTGGCTCACTTTAATGCTTCGTTTCCATTACAGTTTAGGAACTGGGGTAGTATCTATAGTAACGCAGTGTAGGCGGAGCCGTGACGTCATCTTCAATGACGGCCCGTCCACACAGCAGCGTTAAAAAAAATCTTCCAACGCTTTTGCCCATTCACTTTGAATGGGGTGATGTCACTTTGCCTCGCTTTTCGCCGAACTGCATTGTGGGAAAACGAAGATTTCCAGGATTCAAAAGTTGAGCAATGTTCAACTTTTGAAGCTGAGGTGGAAGCGTCAGCCAATCAAATCCCGTTTATGCAAATCTGACTGTACAAGCGCTAGCCAATCAAACCGCATGCAAGCTGGGAGTGACATACTGCAATTCATTTTCTATATTCCTGAAAATGGAGGAGAAATTAGTTATTGCGGTAGCAAATCACCCGGTTCTTTATGACCAGTCGCTAATAACTTACCAGGATACAAACCGGAGGAACAAGGCATGGAGGGAGGTAGCAGAGACAGTGGGTGAAACTGGTAGGTTTTTGCCTGTTTGGGGATTTTATATCCTGTTTACTTCGTTTTAACATTGCTATTGCTTTGTATGTCGGGGGCGGGATATTCATGTGATTGGTTGTTGGTCGCGTTGCTCGCAAAAAATCCCCAAGCTTTCAGACACGCCCACCTCCAAGATTTTCAAGATTTTTTTAACGCTGCTGTGTGGACAGGCCGTCAGAACCACAGAAAAACAACATCAGCCGTTAGCTGTTAGCACTCAGAGCTCACAGCTCCTCATATCTGTTCAGAAATTAGACAAAAGTTAAACAAGTACAAAGCACAGACTGTCTGTGTCATGGCGAATACAGTTGCTGGTTTGTTTATGTCTGTAGGCCGTTGTTGCGAGTGTGGACGATCGGAGCATATACTGCGTTGGCTTAGTTGATCTCCATTCAGAAAACACGCATTTTAAAAGGTTTTTCGCCTGCCGTCTGTCTGCAGACTTGTCAAAGCATTAATTCATGGTTTTTACTATCCGGTATCAGTATGTTGTTACTCCGGCATCATTTTGAAACGTGTATTACAATTAAATCACGGTCAAATATGTTCATTTTGTTGTAGTTGTAGCCCCCTTGCCAGCGATTCTCTCTTTAGCATACTCAGCCCGACTCGGCCCGGAAAGAACCTCGATTTTATGGGGCCAGAAAAACTGTGAAATAGTACCTGCTAGCCAGTACTAGGCCTAGTGGAAACGCAACCAAAAACGGGCCGGGCACGGCACGCTTAAAGCGAATTCCGCGCTGTAGTGGAAATGCGCCATTAGCAAACTATGGTTTTATGGTTTTACATAGAAGCTTCAGACATTCACCAGTGAGGTATTTACCCACCTATGTCATAAAACAAAAGCTAAAAATCTCCTCTGCTTGTGTTAACCACATACCTTATTTAAGACTTCTACACATAAACACACTCAAAAAAACATCGACTGCGAGAGGAGGGAACCGGAAATGCTAACTCATCCCCATGTTTAAGGACTCATTCCTACACAACGCTATAGTGACAAAAGCACAAAAGATCCTAACTAGCATTTTCCTTAACACCAATATTCTCTACTGTGTTCCTGCAAAGGGCTTCCTGTCGTTCCTGTCGGCTCCTCTGATTGGTGCACTGTCGGACATCTGGGGTAGGAAGTCCTTCCTCCTCATGACAGTCTTCTTCACCTGTGCCCCCATCCCCTTCATGAGGATCAGCCCCTGGTAAGACAATCTTTGTCTGTTTAGTGATGGTTTCTGGATGACTGAAACCTTTTTGAGTTCATCCCCAGCTTTTTCAAGGGAACTGTTTATAGTTTTAATTGTTTTCTGTACAAAAAAAGTCTCTGGATATTTTGTAGCAGCAGCCGGTGTGATGCAGTGGGGGAGGTTTAAGCAATATTTTGGGTCAAAGCTGTTTTTGTGCAAATTATGTCCATGACAAAGAGTCCCAACTGGCATCGCAGGGTTCTGTGTTTGGATGTATTCCTGTCCCTCACTTAGAAAGAACTACAACAGAAGAGGAACAGCTGATTCTTGAATATGAAATGAGGAGTTATTTACATCAGCGTTATGTTAATAAACAAAAACTAAGTTGAAAAAAGAATTTAAAGAGATGTTGTTGTTAAATGTTTTTTATTTTGTGGATTCTAGTTCTGCAGTGTTTGTTCTTGGATTAAAAAGTTGTGACTTTAATATGAAGGTGATTTTGAACTAATGAAAGTAATGGTTGGTTAGTGCCCTGTTCTCAGTAGAGCTGGTAGGGGCTGTTGGAGTTCGAAAAGTCACATGCTGTTCATGTGAGCAGCTGAGGATCAGCATGTAGGCTGCAGAGCAGACAGCAAACATTCTCAGCTAGAAAGCACTCTTTAATCTGGTCTCACAGCCCCCCTTCAGTCTTCATGTGTTCTTCATGGAAAGTGCACAGTCACTATATTCATCAATGAAACATGAGCAGAAGTGGAGTGAAGCATAACCATGAAAAAACATTGAACAACATATAAAACCAAGCATTAAAAAAACAAAACAACATCATTTATATATATATCTATCTTTTTATCCTCAGACAATAAATCTGTTTTTGTTTCAGTTGACGGTGAAATTTGCTTCTGAAATCCCTTTGCTTTTACACTAGTCTGTAGTACTGTAGTTGTACTGTGCTACAGCAGGAACAGTGTAACTAATATCAAATCCCTTCATTAAACCGAGACTCTCAAGCTTCTGTGAGTCACATGGTCTGTGCATCAAGTTCAACTAAATCTTCCTTTCAAAATTCAACTATCATTTTTTGTCTCAGTTTTAGATGCCATGAGGGCACCAGTTAAAAGTCATGATACCCAAACCAGTAACTCCCTCTGGAGGGAACACAGGGATTTGATATGCACCAAAACCTATAACACACTCAAGTAAAGGGACAACTCCAACAATAAGGATAAGAGGGCCCCTTTAAATGAGTTTTGCTCTTTGAATAGGTCGGAATGTGTGCCTTTGTGATATTCTGTGGCTTGCCCCGACTTTCTGCTATGTATCCATAATAATGCTATATTATGGTTTTTCATCTGCTTTGTCCACAAGTCATAGACGGCTGTCTTTGCAGCTCTAAAGGACAGTCTCTAAATAATACAGTGCTGTGCATCAATTGCTAAAAAAATGTGAGAAGAGAAAGAGAAATTAGTTTTTCATCTTAGGGATACAAAAACACATCACTTTAAAATGTGTACAGCTTATATTTACACCTAGCTACACAAATTAAAAACTGAGAATCTGTGGCTCTGCACCTGAACATTCTACTTTGAACTATCGGGAAATGAAGGTATTTAAGATGATTACAGACGCCTCGAAATCAGAGATGCATTGAATAACAGAATCGAGACATTGTGAGTGTTCTGTATTGTCCTGCTTTGCAAAGTGTTGTAAATATACTGTATCTCTCTGTGTGTGCAGGTGGTATTTCGCTTTGATATCAGTCTCAGGGATCTTCGCAGTGACATTCTCAGTGATCTTCGCCTACGTAGCCGACATCACCGAGGAGCACGAGAGAAGCACGGCTTACGGACTGGTAACTACAGCTGCAGATTGAATCACTCTGACTGTGACAGGAAGTGGGTTTGACTTCACTAAACACGTCCACAGAGCAAGAACAACCAAGGACACCAGCACGTCACAGCTCTAGGATAAAGCTACCTCACAGCTCTAATACCTGTCTGAATGTTCTTTAAACGTGCAGATGATGTAGGGGCAGTACTGCAGATTACTGTAATAGCTCATTGTGTGTACACAATGAAGGTCCTGCAGAGCTCTTTCATGGTGTTTCCTGCCATTATGGAGATCTGCAGAGAACCAGGTCACAGGAAGTACCAGATCAAATGTGCTCTCTCTTGAGTTGTCTTTGTTTATAGCATTGAGGGTTAGAGACCAATAGGGATTGAGACTAAAGCAGTGCATTCTGGTCCCTGACCCCTGCTGTGCTTGCTGTTTTAGGATGTTAAATGCTGCTTAAAAAATGTGGTTCTAAAACGAGTAATGGTTTTTGACTGACAAAGTGATTGGCACATGAAGGTTCAGCCGTTTCTGTCTCTGCTCTTCGGTAAATAGAGGTGGGGGTGTTTGTGGGGCACTGGCACCTAGACATTGTAAGGAGAGGATGGTAGTGATTGTGTAGGTTTTGCAGCGGCGCTCATAAAATAAATATAGGGGACAGATCGAAAAGCTATGATTAGCCTTGCACTAAAATTATCAATTTCTCCTCATATTTGCCAAAGACTGATATTAACAGCCGCAATGGAAGCTATCTTTGGGCTGTGAGTGGTTGTTCCTCGTCACCTGATGTGCACGTTGCTGCGTTCTGAAGGCTGACCTACTTATAACTAGGGATGTCCCGATCACCTTTCTTTGCTTCCGATTCTGATCATTTGATTTAGACAATCTGCCGATACCGATTTTTCCCGATCCGATCTTTATGCAATCCATTAAGAGAAAAAAAAGGTAACAGATAACGGCTGGTCATCCAACGCGATGAATTCAGCTATCTTGGCTGTTATTTTTTGGGCCTTTTCACTGTTCTGGGGCAGTTTCTCTTTCCTTTTAAAAGTCTCTGAAAGTGTCGGTTGTTTCAGTGCTGTTACCTGAGTGGCCGCTGTGTACTCGTCGTGTTGTTGTTGGTGTTTGTTTCTCAGGTGGCGTATTAGATTGGTCGTGTTGAACGTAGCTCTGTTCTTTCCACCACGCGGAACCTCCACCTTGCAAACATTGCATCTGGCTGTTACAGCTTTCAATTTTATAATACTTCCAAACTCCTGACATTTTCTCTGTCCCGACTCCCGAGTCACCAGCTGAACGTAGCCTCTCGTTAGCTTACTGCTACTATTAGACACTGCGCCCTGCCCACTCTGTTGCCAGATTTGAGAGAAATAAGCAACCAGGTCTATGAAAACAAGCCCAAAAGAAGATGTTGTGTAATTTTAAACAAAAACTAAGGCCTCAGGATGACTTTAAGACGTGAACATGGTCATTTTTGTTTTGTAACATTAAATAAAATAATACAAATATTTTATTAAAAAAAAAAGAAATTCCCGATCCCCAATTTCTTTCTTCCGATCTTTTGAAAATCACGTGATCGTATCGGGACATCTCTACTTCTAACCACCGACTCAGCCATTGCTCCCTGGTCAGTCCCTGAAGATAAGCGGTTTGGAACTCTTCCAGTGTGCAGAAAGAGAATAGTCCTACCTAGCCTCTGACATGTCTCATGAAAATGCATATTCCACTAATAATCCCATTAATGCCCCCAAGACGACTGCCGTTTTAAATAACTTACATTTCCCTTATTTTCCAACTGTAGTCATAATGTTCCCATGGTGTACCCTCACAGTTCTGACTTGAGTTTGCAAAACTTTCATAAAAAATGCTACATTGGAAATTTTGATTATAAAAACTGAACATGCTGTGTCCATGACCTTTTATTAAATTCTGAATATTGTCATCTCCTGAAATAATTGGGTGTTGGGTATCGCACAATAATGCCGAATGATAGTTGGTGCATGGTCTTGTGGTTTTCCACTCACATTATGACGAAGTGATAAAATACACGTTTGAGCAGATTTTTGTTCTAATGCATTTGTTTTGTTTAATATTTTTAGACACAGTTAAAGACAGCAGCCCCAGTAACATCTATATTTTTCTCTCTGTGTGTCTCATCAGGTCTCTGCAACCTTCGCGGCCAGTTTAGTGACGAGCCCAGCCATCGGGGCCTACCTGTCGGCGCAGTACGGGGACAGCCTGGTGGTGCTGCTGGCCACGGTGATAGCTGTGCTGGACATTGCCTTTGTCTTCTTTGTGGTCCCCGAGTCGCTGCCAGACAAGATGAGGCTGACGTCCTGGGGCTTCCCCATCTCCTGGGAGCAGGCCGACCCGTTTGCTGTGAGTTTATAAAGACTGAAAACAACACACTGTGACAAAGAGGGGGTCAAAGGTCACAGGTCACATGTAGTGTGTTCTCACCAGCTGACCCCATGACACAGCAGGTCAGAGGAGGCACAACATAAAAGCACGTTGTTCCTTGTTGACCAGTAGTCGTCAGTTCAAGCGATTAATTGTTATTATTATTATTATTTATATGAATATCTTAAACTTTAATGATAAATTGTATTTCTAAATGTTTTCGCCTCACAAAATGTTTTCAGCCCCTGAATGTTTAAAAAAAATAATTAAATAGAATTGCTGGATTAAGACTTAGCGGACTAACGTTTGGTCGACTAACAGGGGGCATCCCTAATGTTTATAATGGTGTAAATGCTTGTTGATCTGTAGCAGCTTGGTAAATGGTAAAGCCCTAAACACTGCTTGGCTGAAGTATTGATGGGGTTCTTTGTGATTGACAGATTGACAGCTCTACTGATAAGTTGTAGTGAGTGCTGATTGTTTTCTGTGTGCAGTCCCTGCGTCGTGTGGGGAAAGACAGCACGGTGCTGCTAATCTGCGTCACAGTGTTCCTGTCCTACCTGCCCGAGGCTGGACAGTACTCCAGCTTCTTCCTCTACCTGAAACAGGTCACACACACACACACACACACACACACACACACACACACACACACACACACACACACACACACACACACTACGACAGACGACACGACGACGACACG